TCAAAAGTAGTGGTGAAGTGTGGCATTTTGGATTTGAATAATTCTAGAGTCATCTATAAAATCCAGCCATAGAAGTTAGTTCACCTGATGCTTAGTGGGAAGCAGTTTCACTTGTGAATTAAAAAAGGGTGTGGGTACAAACGCCATACCACTGCTACCACTACCATAGGTACTTCAATGCAGAACTGTTGGAATGTTACACTATTGGAGTCCAGGTTTTGGATAAAACATCAAAACAAAAATCTCATTTGTCTGATCAGTGGATGGCACTATCATTGAGAGGAGCAGGAGAATCACTATCAGTGTCCCAGAGAGACACAAATCAAAATGTCACAAGAACAGTTTACTCAAGTATACAGTACAAGTTTCCACAAATAGCAAGAGTGGCTATACTTTAAAAGTACCCTTACTAATTGAAGGATTTAGGCATCTGGGTGATCAAAAGGAATACATAATGCAACCCTCTTTCAAAGCTTTGGGAAATACAAGACAAAAAAGATTAAAAACATGCTTTCAAAAAAAACAAACAAACAATACATACCACCATCACCTCTAGGAGTTTTACACTGGTTACATTCATTTCTCCAAGCAAAGTTGACATTACCACATGACCTAGAAGAAATAAAATTGGTTTACACCCAAACAGTTGGGTTAACTAGAATTTCAAATTATACTTTAAGTTAGTCTTAGTTGTAAATTAGCATGTTCTGAAATTTTGTTGTTCTGAGATATTAAGCTAACAACTGTGACATTGGGAAAAAAAAAAACTGAAATTCTGCTTTAAAAAACCACTTACGGATTTGGGCAAGTCCAATCTTCACCTCTTGGACCACCACCACCCTGAAAAGCACGACCACCTCTGCCCATTTGACCTGTTTAAAACAAAAAACAAACAAGCAAAAGAGCCCCTCCATAAGTCACATTTTGCAGGGACTATTTAGCTTAATTTTTAAGTGTTAAAATTGTCATACAGACAAATTTGTATACCTCCACGACCGCCTCTACCACCTCGTACAAACTCTGATCGCCTTGTTGCAAAGGAAACTTTTATTGTGTTTCCATGGAAATCCTTTCCTAAAAGAAAACAGTTGTGTCAGCAGGGCTACTGAACTCAGTTTCACATGCTTATTTGTAAGTTGACACTTGCTGCGGTTACGTTGTCAGACTGCATCATTAAATCACATCGAAGATATTTAAATGCAAATCATATCATCATGCATTATGAATTTCTACATCCAGGTTTATCAAATGTGTCAATGAAATCCTTCTGATTGGAGATGCTGCCAAACGGTTTATCTCACATCCTAAAGAAAAGCAGGTCACAGTGGGGCGAAAAAAAGATTTCACCATGACTGTACTACAATGGAAACAAAGTTGCCCTTTAAGAAAAACAAAATGTACTAAAAACATATGCAATGTGTTAGATTACACAAGTTTAGTCAATTGCATAATACTTCATTATTATGGACCATAACATTTAGTAGTGCAACCCACTGCCCAAGAAAAAAAAAATGGCCAATGGTCCAGAAGTTCGGTGGAATGTGAATCCAATATAAAAAGGATCTTACCATCAAACCAATCAATCGCAGCTTTTGCTGATGGTGGGTCATCAAAAGACACTGTCGCTTCACCTTTTAGTTTGCCTGTAACTTTGTCCGTATAAAGGTTGATCATGGCATTTCCAGTTTTCTTATTAATCTATTAATGAAATGATGTTCGATAATAATGATCATTCAATACCCTTCCCCAGAATGATAAAATTAGACAGACATACAAACCTTAATCACGCCAATCTGTTTAAAGAAATCAGCAACTTGTTCAGTTGTCACATCATCTCCAAGACCCTGGACAAAAATGGTGTTGTTATCAGCGTTGTCATCAGAAGCTGTGGATATTTAAAAAAGAAGTGTTATCATCTTGCTAGTCATTATAAAAACCTTGAATATCTGGTTCCGAGGCTAAGTTGAAATACTGAAAACGCAAGCACTTTGCTCCCCTTTGAAGTACAATTTTGGTGAATCTATACCAAATATAACTCAACACATCATGGAACTAGGTAAAAATGAATCATGAAAGAAAGCACGTTGTACTTAATGGACTGTTCAAAACAAGGATCCTCGGGTGATAGATACTGAATTGAAAAGCAAGAAACCAGAAAATAGGATTAATATTTCAAATTTCAGCTTGCAGTCAACAAGAATTTCATTTTAACAAATTGGTTTAGTGGAGACGATAAATAGCTCCACAATTATGTCAGGTGAATTAAAGTCCTGCAAATATCAAGGTAATAACTAGTTGCAGTAACTACTTAGAGAAAGCAATGGCAGAAGCACCACTCTTCTGCAGAATATTGAAGTTTGCCTACCAGGATTAGGTCCTTGCCCACGATCTCTTGAGCCTGGAAAGAAGAAAGGGAGCCTGAAACTACTTTTTTTTCTAACATTGTAGAATGAAATGAAGTTGCACACTGTTTTAAATGGCATTTATTGGGAGCATTCATAAAAGACAACCACAATCATTTAACCCTTTTTGGTTTACTACCATGAACAATGGCCATTGAATTTATTAAGTCCAGAATTAACCTCCCAGAAAAAGATACACACGTTAGGCATGCATGCTGCTTCATTTCTTCAAGGTGAAGCCTAAACCATATTGATTGCATCCCAACAGTGCCCACACTTAAGTGTGAAAAGGGATTTGCCCTTTATGTATTGGCTGACAGAACAAAAGCATCTGAAATTAGTTTTAATGCCTACGTACAGTTTGACTGTCTGATGTTGGACTCTATAGCAGGTGAGTGAGTATCAGTAGACAAAACTAAGTGAACTTATTCACAGAGATAGTAGGAACTGCAGATGCTGGAGAATCCGAGGTAACAAGGTGTAGAGCTGGATGAACACAGCAGGCCAAGCAGCAGAGGAGCAGG